ATTCGTAAGGAGACACGTCTCTTGAAAGACGGAAAGGACATGTTAGAACCCTTGGAGAAGAAGCAATGGATGACTACATGGAATGAGAACGAGAGCTACTCATGAGACTGTCTCTGCATTTGCTATGAACAATTTGCCAGCATCAGGCATCTCTAGTTGTGAAAAGTTTAGAGGAAGTCCATCTCTGCACAGTCTGTGAGCCCACTGTTAAAGAGAGACATGGAGATGCTTTTACAGATCCACGTGTGATATCGCTGGGCATTTCGTTTGCAATGCCACCCCTTCAAAAAGTGTTTGTAAATTTTTTTTGGAAGTTGCATGAGATGCCAAGACTGAATTGTCTTGATTTTCTTTGTAAATATTTTACAATGCAGTTTATTTATTTTGTCTTGTAATTTTGTACTAAGACGCCTACTGTGCATGAACTGCCCAAAGATTATTTTTCATGTCTTTCAGTAACTATAAATTCGATTGAATGTTTCGAGGTCTGTCAGGTGAAGCTCAAGCGAGCAGTGTCAGAAGAGAAAAAAATTAACAAGTCGATGAGTTACTACTGAAAAATGCTGATGTATGACCCAAACATATACCAGTTATGCAACTGGAGCAGTGCTACAGATATGAGTACACACACAAACCATCAAATGATGACACATCTGCATAATTTGGTGTAGTTTTAACATGACACTTCTAATCTCTAGAATGCTCACAATACCAAACATTTCTTTGCTAATCAGCATGTTTTAACGTCTGTTGGTTAGACTACCATTAAAGGGGCATTCATTAATTCTGCCATCTATTGACATGGATCAGCATGAAGGTCTTACTTTCTTACAAAAAGAAGTGAACTGGGTATCAGGATTTTGTCTGTCATCAAATCTTTCCTCCTTGTACTGATGGCTTCAGAACTATTCTGCTTCTTTGGCCGCACAGGTACCTGTTTTCTCTTCACAGTAGTAAGAGTTTTTTATTGTGTAATTTTCACTCTTCACATCACCAAACTGCACTACGCTACGAGTGCATCTGACCTTTAGTGAAACACCATGGGTCACGTTACTTTAACATACCAAAATATACATTGAGAGGTGTGACCCGCACAATGTAATTAAAAAATGTTTTATAAAAAAACGTAAGTACAATCTTGTGTGTACGCTATTCAGATGACACTTCACAAAAACACAATTTATTTCTTATTTCATGTAGATGAATGCATCTCTCCACTGAAGGAGGCCACAAGGCAAACAATGCTGACTGCCAGGGAAAGTACAGCTAGTCAACCTGCCCGGCCTTAAATTGACTGAAAAGCCTTCAGAAACTGGAATGCAAGCGGATGTTCTGGTGTTCGATGCCCAAGATGACCATGAGGAATCAAGGAGGTCGGATGAGCTGGTGTTTTGAGGCTGGCACGTGACATCAGGAAGAACGGCTACACGCTCTTAGCTCTTAGATTAGCACGTGTTTCCTAAATTGGGGAAACTGTGATAGGAAGTTTTCAATCAAGGGACGGCTGAGAAAGGCACTTTATATGCAAGTATGTACAGGTGCATCTCAATAAATTAGAATGTCGTGGAAAAGTTATTTCAGTAGGTTTGTGGCTTACCCTCCTTGTGAAGGGTGTCAATGATTGTCTTCTGGACAACTGTCAGATCAGCAGTCTTCCCCATGATTGTGTAGCCTAGTGAACCAAACTGAGAGACCATTTTGAAGGCTCAGGAAACCTTTGCAGGTGTTTTGAGTTGATTAGCTGATTGGCATGTCACCATATTCTAATTTGTTGAGATAGTGAATTGGTGGGTTTTTGTTAAATGTGAGCCAAAATCATCACAATTAAAAGAACCAAAGACTTAAACTACTTCAGTCTGTGTGCATTGAATGTATTTAATACACGAGTTTCACAATTTGAGTTGAATTACTGAAATAAATGAACTTTTCCACGACATTCTAATTTATTGAGATGCACCTGTATGTGTGTTTAAACTTAACTAGCTGTGTGACATTTACCCCAAGTGCTTGATGTTGGTTGGCAATGCTGTTGGAACAACATACTGGCTAGCACTGAGGATGGGGAAACAATGGGAAAACAAGATTATCATTATGAACAAAATATGTAAGAATCATAAACTTTTTTTTTTTCTTAATTTCTGCAACCCAAAAGTCAATGGAAGACTCCTTTGGGTTTTGGTCAAAGGGAGCTGGGTGATGCTAACATCCAGGATGGCCTTCATAAAAACCTCATCACTGCAACGCTTTATATTGTGTTTGTCCATGTGAGGTTTTGATTACAGTAAGTACTCTGCAATTACATGGACACGCAACATTCATTCCCATCATCCACCACCAGTCAAGATCCACATCAGAGATGGTTTGATCGCCAGCTGCATCTGTGAAGAGATTACAAATTAGTTTGAATGAATTACTGTATTATACAGTACATAGCATATTAGGCTAATTCATTATATAGTTATTAACACATTAACAGTTTTAATTAAAGGGGTCATATGATGTTGCTAAAAAGAACATTATTTTGTGTATTTGGTGTAATGAAATGTGTTTATGCGGTTTAAGGTTAAAAAAA